TTTTTTTTTTTTTTTTTTTTCCGCACCAGCGCACGATTCCACGAGCTGGTCAGGGAAGGACGCCCTCCTCCTCCGCCTCCGGCCGAGACCTTCTCCAACTCCGAGGCCCGAGCTCCCCTGACTAATTTGTCGCGCGCCGACCTCCCCCGCCCCCGCCCGAAGGGCAGAGGCAGACGGGGCAGTAGAGGAACCAGCGAGAGGGCACCCGAAATAGCGGGTGCTACCCTGCCCGCAGACCCCTGCGTGGGGGAGGACGGTGCAGGTAGGGCCCGAGCGTCTCAGTGGCGCCCGCGACCCCCTTTCAGAAAAGCGACCTCGGCTAGGCCACACAACTTTATTAAGCAGCACAGCGCGCAGCGAGAGTGCAGCACCGAACCGGCCCGAGAGCTCGATCGATCGATCCTCCTCCTCCTCCTCCAACTCTTCCTCCTCCAACTCCAACTCCTCCTCGTCCTCCCCCTCCTCCCCCTCATCCTCCCCCTCCTCCCCCGCCTCCTCCTCCCCCTCGTCCTCTTCCTCCTCCTCGTCGTCCTCCCGTCTCCTCTCCTCCTCCTCCATCCTCCTCCTCCTCTCCTTCCCCTTCTCCTCCTGCTACTTCTCCTCCTCCTCCTGCTCCTCCTCCTCCTCCTCTTCCTCCTCTTGCTCCTCCTCCTCCTCGTCGTCCTCCTTCTCCTCCTCCTCCTCCTCGTCCCTTCCCCCCCCCTGCCCCCGCAGATAACCTGACCTTGTCGGTGGCGCAGGTCCGACAGGGGGTACGCAGTGCTGGCGCGCGCGGGCATGCGTTGGCCTGCCTGAGTCGAACAAGTCAGGTTATCGGCCAGTATCTCCCGCCCTCACCAGATAACCCGGGCTATCGCCGAAAAAGATACAACGACGACCGCCAGAGGTATCGACCTATTCCCCTAGACCGGCTTTTCATCATGAGTCGTTGCTGGACGGTCCTGAGGCCCGGTCAAGACCCCCAGAGGCCGAAAATGGCGAAACACCGTCCGTCGTGATCTTTCTGGTTTTCGCCGAAATGTAAATCTTGAGTTGGGCTGAGTGTCAGAGAGATTCTTCCTCTGCAGGACCACCAAACAAGGAACGTCAAGGTGGTCCAACGCATCGCCTGTGAAGCCGACGAAGTGGTGTAACATCCAGCCATTCGTTTATGTTCAAAGTTTTGGCTTGACGCTGGGTGTAGTGTATCAATTTCAGCTTGACCGCACAGGTGGTCGTTTTCTTATGCATTGCTTTGCCGATCGGCGCGGGACCCCTCCGCCCCCATGGAGTAGATCTTGGCTGTCTTTCGGCACCTGTTTCAAGCGGGTGGAGTCTCCGCAATAGGACGCACGTTCCCCAACAGTCGCACTAAGCAGAGGTCTGGAGCCAGAAACCCCCCTCCCCTCCCCCCCCCTTCCCGCCCATTGTCGAAACGCCGAATACGACAGAGCTCACCAGGTTGGTTGCGACCCTTGACGTCGTTTTTTTGCGGTGCTCGTCAAATGCTGTCTCTCCAGCAGCCTGCTCGGCGCCGCGCCCACCGCGGGCGGCGCCAGGTCCGCCACCTGCTTCGCGCTCCACACGGTGGACCGGCGCGTCCGCCTGGAGGCCAGGACCAAGTCGGGCATGTCCTTCTAGTGACCGTTTTCGTATTCATTGTTCGAAGGATTGCAAAAAAACCCACGAAGGATTGCCCAAAAAACCAGGATTGCAACGAAGGATTGCAACGAAGGTTTTTTTGCAATCCTTTGCAATCCTGGTTTTTTTTGCAATCCTTCGGGTTTTTTTTTGCAATCCTTCGGTTTTTTTTGCAATCCTCCGATCGGCGCGGGCCCTCGCGCCCCCTCCCCTTCCCCTTGGAGTGGGTCTTAGGCGTTTTTTGGCGTCTGCTTCGAGCAGGTGGAGTCTCGTCCACAGGACTTGGCGGCGCGCAGAAGGGGGGTAGGGGGAGGGGGGCAAGGCGTCTTAGAAGCACCCCTGCTTCTTAGAAGGCGCGGGCCTTCTCTGCAGACGTCAGGCCGAGGCCTTCTAAGAAGCAGGGCGCTTCTAAGAAGCCTTCCCCCCTCCCCCTACCCCCTGTTGCGCGCCGCCAGAGGACGCACTGCTGCAAACAGTCGCAGTAAGCAGAGGTCCGCAGCCAGGCCCCTCCCCTGCCTCCCCCTCCCGCCAAATCTCGAAACGCCGAATGATAATCGGGGGTGGACAGAACCCCCAACAGTGACACGTCGATTAGTGAATTGTCCGTTTTCGGTTCTCGAGAGGGCGCCGGGGCCGTTATTTTCCAGGCTCGCGCCCGCCAGGTTTGGGCCTCAGGTCGTTTTCACTAAACCACGTTTTACTAAAGGGGGGTCTGTCCATCCCCGATATACAGGAATTTGCAAGATCGGCCCAGAAATAGTCTGGTGACGATGTTTCGTGCTCCTGTTAGCATAGCAGAAGTACACACTGGAGGAATCTTCATCGCGCCCCTGTTATCATTATGTATCAGTATCGCGCTCCTGTTATCATTACCGCTCCTCGCGCTCCTGCTATCATTATTCAGCATGCTCGTGTTACATAGAACATGTGCCGTGCTCCTGTTACTCCAGATTTCGTAATACAAGGGAGGGGGTCTGGACCCTCCAAGACAAGCCATTTCAGACCTGCCCCGTGGGAGAACCCTCGAACACATCGTCCCCAGACCCCCCCAGGCCCTCCAAGATGGCCTGGAAGAGACCCCCCCCGAAATGAGACCCCCCTCCCTTTGTTACGAAATCTGGAGTATCATCATTGATCATTTGTCTGTCAGGATCCGTCTGTAGGGGGACAGGCCCGACCGGAGGCCAGGAGCGAGTTCGAGGCGCGCAGCTGGGTGGAGCAGCTCAACAGCGCGGAGGGCGCCCGCTGCTCGATGCGGGGGGAGAAGCGCACCGACCACGACCAAGACTCGGGAGGAGGGCGAGGAGGAGGAGGAGGAGGAGGAGGAGGAGGAGGAGGAGGAGGAGGAGGAGGAGGAGGGAGGAGGAGGAGGACGAGAAGGAGGAGGACGAGGAGGAGGAGCAGGAGGAGGAGGAGGCGGAGGAGGAGGAGCAGGACGAGGAGGAGGAGGAGGAGGAGGAGGAGGAGGAGGAGAGGAGGAGCAGGAGAAGGAGGAGGAGGAGCAGGAGGAGGAGGAGGAGGAGGAGGAGGAGGAGGAAGACGAGGACGAGGAGGAGGACGAGAAGGAGGAGGAGGCGGAGGAGCCTCCCCCCCCCGCGCGCCCAGTGCCCGCCACTCTCCCTTCTCCTCTTGTGGGGGATGGGCTCACGGGGGGAATGCACCGACGACAGGTACAGTGGAGACCCCTGCCAAGGAACTCAGGCGATCGCAAACATGGATCAAGCAAGGGCGCGTGGACTGCGGATTAGCGACGGGTCCCGTTTCCATGGGAGATCGCGGGTTTCCGCCGCCGAGCGAGGCGGCAGCGGCCGCATTTGGGGGAGGGCGCCTCCCCCGACCCATGGATTTGGCAACCGCGCGCCAAATCCACTAATCCTTGTTTGCGTGCCCCCGAAAGATACCGCGGGATTTTGTCGACGCCGGTCATGGTCATGATCCATGCTGGCCGTCGCCGACTTGCGAGGATGACTCAATCCACGAAGTGTCGCTGGCCACGATCGACGCTGACCAAGATCGCCAGGACGTTGTCGCGATCCGTATTGGTCATGGTCTCCGCTTGCTTCCCCTCCAGCTGTGCCCTGAGGAGGGATCGCCGAACAAGAAAGCACTGCATGAGCATACACTCTAGGCGATGCTTAAGAAAACCCAAGTTTTCGGCCAGAGCCTCGATTTTTCTTAATGATTCAATGCAAATCCTAAGATTTGAATCGACATTATGGGTTTTTATTCAAGTTCCTAGACTATGAATTTCTTAACCCATGATTTCTAAAGCATTTCGCAGGGTGTACGCTTTCGCAGCTCCGCGCGTGTTCCTTGGATCGGCACTCGGGGCCCCCTGGCGGGGCCTCCAGCGCCGCTCCTGGCGCGCTCCGCGCTCCAGGGAGGGGAGCCCCAGCGCCGATGCAAGACATCCGCACGGAGCTCCAAAAGTTTATACTGATGCCTCCTGTTCTACCTCTGGGAAGGTACCGATGCGGCCAAATCTGGCAGAGCACCGTTTGATTGCGCTCAATGTTGAGCAGTTTGGCTTAGAAACCTGCTTGGATCCTGCGCTTAGTCTGGGCTAGTCCATCCTAATGGTCATTGCAATCGGGCTTTGTAGCTCTTACCTGAGCGGGGCTAGGACAGGGGTGTATCGTTCCATGGCGTTCTGGAACGCTCAACGCGTTCGGGAACGCTCCGAGAAGGCCGCGGCGCCCGATCGAGAACCGCCGCATCTCAGAGGTCCCTCATTTTTCCTGGTCCGATGTTGTCCCTGTCCTGGCTTCGTTTTAGATTATGTATTACGCACGCCTCCCAGAAGTGACCTCCCAGATGAGTCACGTAAACCTGAGGGGTCGATTGCGCCGACATTCGCGCGTAAGCTACCAGTGCAGCGTGCCGCGCTGGCTGATCAGATCGCTATGCCATCTCGCGTAAGACATATTCTCTTTCTCAATGGGGAAAAAGAACCCAAGCCCGCGTGAAGACGTAACCTAACTCAGGTTCACGTCTCTGCATAAGGACAAATCAAGTTTAGCACATCTGCCAAACAGACCCCCTGTATCGAGTGTCCAGGCCCTGCTACCTCAGGTCGGCTCCCAACGGGATGCGGTAGGTTCGTGTCGTCGTGTCGTGTCGACCAGCGGCGACCCCGCCAGCGGCGTTCCACGTTGAACGCCGCGGGCGACCCAGAATTCTTTCGATGTGGAGCGATTCGGACGTTTCGGAAACGGCCGATCGCTCAATGCGGAACGATCCCCACAGTGTCAGGAACCAACGCCAGGGTCGACACGACACGAACCTGCCGTCGGGCCCCCTGATTGGCTAGTCGCTCTCGTCGCCGAGATGCTGGGCCCCGCCTGCGCCAGTGCGGGCGCGCAGAGGCCGGCGCCCTCCGCACAGCGCCAAGCTGCTGGCGCAGGGGCGCAGCGCCCAGAAGGCGGGCCCGAGCCCGTGCCCTTCGGAGGCGTCCCAGGCCTCGCAGTCCACGTCCGCCAGCGGCAGCCGGGAGGAAAAGCGAGCGTCCACCGAAGGACTCTGTGCTTCCCAGATGGGGTCCGAGTGGGTGGGGTCGGAGGATCATGCCGCATCGCCGATGCATCGGCGGTGCGGCTCGATGCGGGGCCCGATATGCTTCACGCTAGCGTCGCCCACGCACCGCCGACGTCGGCGACGCACCGCCGGTGCATCGCCGGTGCAGCGCCGATGCATTGGCGATGCGGTGCGATCCTCCGACCCCGTCTACTCCGACCCCATCTTGGAGGCCTCTCGAGTGTCAATCGAAGAACCGAACACCGAATAGACATGATTTCTCGGAGGCCCGCGCGGATTTCTTGGATCGGCGTTGGGTTCCCTTGGCGGCGCCTCCGGCGCCGCCCCTGGCGCGCTCCGCGCATGATTTGCTCCGCGCGCCAGGGAGGGGGCTCCAGCGTCGATTCGAGAAACCCGAGCTGACCTCCGAGAAGCTGTGTTCAAGCAGTCGTTTGGTTCCCCTCATAGTCAAGAGGCATTTTGTTTGCCCCCTTTCGAAAGCGGGCGTTTCGAAAGGGGGGGAGCGGGCTGGAAAGGGGGCCGGCCATGTCGCGATCCGCGACGGCGCCGTCTTGGGGCTGCCGAGGAGCGGCGGATTCCCGGACGGCGCAGGCGCGCATCGCGACGGGGCGCGTCGGGGCCGCCAGCGGACGCTCCCGCGGACAGAGAGAGCAGGCTGAGCGTCTGGTGGCGCGCCGCCGGTGGGAGCCCGCCGGCGTGCCGCGCTTGGGGTTTCGATGCGGAGGCCTGCTTTCTGTTCTGCAGCGCGGTCGAGGCGGGCCGTGCCTGGATGAGCCTGTTTTCCACCACCACCAGAAGTTGGGAGGGAGAGGGGGTCCTCCTCCTCCTCCTCCTCCTGCTCCTGCTGCTCCTCCTCCTCCTCCTCCTCCTCCTCCTCCTCCTCCTCCTCCTCCTCCTCCTCCTCCTCCCCCCTCCAACTTATGGTGGTGGTGGTGGAAAACAGGCCCATCACCCTTCGTTGCTTCTGCAGGTGTCCTTTACAGTAGCACGTGGGCTGTGACGTGGGCTGGTGCTTGCTGCTTCTGGCGCGGGGCCGGGTTTTCTGAGCCGCCGTCGCGCGCGTGGTGGCCGCTCTTGGCGGCCGCGCTGCCCACTCTCCCTCCTCGTCGTCTTTGCTTTTTCGTGTGTCTCCCTCGTGACTGGTGCTCCGCACGGTGGAGCCCCCTGCTGCCCCGAAGCCGTCTTCTGTTTCCGCTCGTTTCCCATCTCCTTCCTCCTTTTTTTTTCTCCTTCTCTCTCTCTCTCTCTCTCTCTCTCTCTCTCTCTCCCTCAGCACACTGGTTGTTCTGGGTCCCATCGCCTTCCTTCCTTCCTTCTCTCTCTCTCTCGACTCTCCTTGTCCCCTGTTCTGTAGTGGATGTGCAGGCCCAGGTTTTCATTGTGCGCGCCCGGTGCCCTGCGTGCTCTCTGATCCGAACGGCTGCCCCGACGCCCCTGAAGTTGAAGCCGAAAAACGGATCTGGGGTTATGATGTCCCAACCTACTTTAGCCTTGAGCACCAGGCAGAATTTCGAGCACCAGAAAACAATATATCGAAACTTGAGGGTTTTCACTTGTCAGGCCCTGGGAGACACTCGCCCGACACTGTTTCGACACTCTTTCGACACTCTTCACGCTGATGGGTTCCCCACGACGGCGTGTCGTGGATTGAAGAAGCAAGGGCTCCCACGAGGGCGCGAAGTTATTCGCGCTTCGCGCTTCGCGGTCCTCGTTCCTTCTCCCCCTACTCCTCGTCCTCCTTTCCTCCCTTTGGGGGGCGGCGCGAGAGCGCGAAGTTGTTCGCGCTTCGCGCTTCGAGGAGCGCGAAGCGCGAAGCGCGAAGCTAGGAGCCCTTGAAGAAGAACATAAACTTTTCGCGCTCCGCGCGCATTTCTTGGATCCACGCCGGCCCTCCCCCCGGCGGCGCCTTCGGCGCCGCCCCTGGCGCGCTCCGCGCGACAGTGCGGGGGCGGGGGGCCCAGCTCAGGTCCAAGAAATATCCGAGCGGACCGTCGAAAGTTTGTGCTTACGCCGTGCCTTCTTCGTCTAACTATTGCTGCTGCTTCTTTCCTTGCCCCACCCCCAGGCAGCTCGTGCGGCTCAGCGCCCTCGGGGCGCACGACGCCCTCGGACGCGGGCGGCCCGGACGCCGCTGGCCGCTGCATGGCGGGGGCCGCCAGCGCGGACCGCCTCCGTCTCCGGGCCTCCCCAAGTGGGCGACGAAGTGCAGCGGGGGTCCCCTGCCCAGAAGCACCCTGCTCGCCTCCAGGGTGCCCTGGGCTTCTGCGATGGTTTTGATGGTTTTGCGATGGCGAGCGGGGCAATCCCACACCCAAAATATCAAGGGACGTCCTGAGGTCTCAGGGGTGGGGCTTCTTGTGGAAGGTTTCTTGTGGTCGGGCTCCCTGCTGTAGGTGGGGTCGGAGGATCACGCCGCATCGCCGATGCCTCGGCGACGCGGCGCGATGTGGAGCCCCATCTGACGTGTCGGTACAGTCGGGGCCCTGAAGAAGGAACCCTTTTCGTTGGGGAGGGGCTCCGTGTTCCTGAAGTGTTTCACAGCTTGTCTCCAGGTTTTCCTTGTGTGTTCGATCGGAAATCGAAGTTTAACTTAAGGGAACAAGGGGCCACTCGTTCGTTATTTAGGGTTCCTGAGGTCAACGCCCCGACTGTAGTGCGGCGCGAGCCTCCGACCCCATCTGCTGGGACCCCATCCTGGTAGGTCGCCAGTCGTGGCCAGCGTGGGGGGGCCTCGCTCCTCCTCCTCCTCCTCCTCCTCCTCCTCCTCCTCCACCTCCCCCTCCTCCACCTCCCTCTCTTCCTCCTCCTCCTCCTCCTCCTCCTCCTCCTCCTCCCTTTCCTCCTCCTCCTCGACTTTCTTCACCGCGGGCGATTCTGCCCTGCTTTGGGCCCCGGGACCCTCACGCATCCATTAGTAGGGGAAAGAGCACACAGACACAATTCATCGTCGACTCCCAGGAAAATATGGGAAGTGGGGGGGAAGACGAAAACCCCAGAAATTACTCCGACGGAAGAACCCCACATAAGAATCCTCTGGGCGAATCTGGAAAAAAACATCACCGTCGTCCTCGTGGTTGGTGAGGCGTCCTGGCTGTCTCTTCTGCGTATATTTCCTGTCGCCTTGGCGCGGGCCCCCCTTCCACTCCTTACGTTGTCCCCATCCTCGCCCCCCTGTTTGTTCCGCGCCCCGCCACCTCCTCCCCTTCCTGTTGCATGAGCGCGCATGTCGATGTTCCTCGGCGCCGTCGCCGCCACGGCCAGCACAGGCGCGTTCTCTACTGGTCACGTCGCGCAGCCGTTGGGACAACCCCGCGGGCCAGGCTGTCGGGACAACCCCGCGAGCCGTTGGCGCGCAAGACCAAGCCGTTGGGACAACCCCGCGGGCTTCGAGCGAGGCGCAGCCGCGCTCAGGCGGAAGGCAGCACGAAGCCCAGCTCTGCCGCGAGCTGCTTCGCCTCCGCCCTGGACAAAACCGCTCTCTTGTCGAACTCCAGGAGCGCCTTCCGCAGGGACGCCGGCGGCCCGGCCGGATTACCAACGTGATCTGCGGGCCCCATAGGGAGGGGGCTCCCGCCTGAGCCTTCCTCATAATTCACTCACAGACGAGGCTCCCGCCTGAGACTTCCTCCAAATTCAGGCTTGAGGAGCCCAAAAGTGACGACAGTTACAGGATTCCGATGGCCCGCTCGGATTACCAACATGATCTGCGGGCCCCATAGGGAGAGGGCTCCCGCCTGAGACTTCCTCACAAATCACTCACAGACGAGGCTCCCGCCTGAGACTTCCTCCATTTTCAGGCTTGACGAACCCAAAAGTGACGACAGTTACAGGTTTCCGATGACCCGCTCGGATTACCAACATGATCTGCGGGCCCCATAGGGAGGGGGCTCCCGCCTGAGCCTTCCTCACAATTCACTCACAGACGAGGCTCCCGCCTGAGACTTCCTCCAAATTCAGGCTTGAGGAGCCCAAAAGTGACGACAGTTACAGGTTCCGATGACCCGCTCGGATTACCAACATGATCTGCGGGCCCCATAGGGAGGGAGCTCCCGCCTGAGACTTCCTCCCAATTCACTCACAGACGAGGCTCCCGCCTGAGACTTCCTCCATTTTCAGGCTTGACGAGCCCAAAAGTGACGACAGTTACAGGTTCCGATGACCCGCTCGGATTACCAACATGATCTGCGGGCCCCATAGGGAGGGGGCTCCCGCCTGAGACTTCCTCACAATTTACTCGACGATGATGAGGATGAGGATGATGAGTGGTGGTGAAGATGAGTGGTGAAGAGGATGATGATTGATTGTGAGTGGTGGTGGCGATGATGATGTTTGAATGAGGATGATGCCGATGCCGATGATGATGATGATGATGTCGTGAGCGTGTGAGAGAGTGCGAGTGATGATGATGATGAGATGATGTGAGTGACTAAGCATGTGAGAGAGCATCATCGATGATGCTGATGAGGTTGATGATGAGAGAGCGTGAGTGAGTGTGAGTGGGTGTGTGTGTGTGTTCCTGTTCCTGCGCGGGGTGTCCAGAGAAAACAAGAACCCCACTTTGGATGTGGGGAACTATAGGAGAATCTGAGAATCGTGTTTTTTTTGTATCTGTTTATTTGTGTTTCCCAGGGCCCCGTCAATCCATCCGGCTCGGGGAACGCCGCGCCGTGAGGTCAAGCCGCAGAGTGAGGGTGGGCAGCCTCCCAGAGGGTACCCCCGCATCCTCGCCTCCTCGGCCCATCCCTGGCCACCTCCGTCGCTCGCGCCCCGCTCGGAACGCTCAGACAAAGGGCGGCCTTTTGGGCCCTTGCAACCCTTGGTCGCGCATCCCTGCCACACGCGTGGGCTGCAGCAGCGTCGCACCTCCGGGCGGGGGCCCGCGAGCCGGCGGGGCACCCACCAATAGGGGAGGTGGGCGCGAGGGGGGGGGCGGCCTCCGAGAGGGTGGCGGGGCCTCCCGCCGAGGCAGGGGGCCTTCTTTGAGGGGCCCGCACGGCTCTCGGATGCCTTCTCAGACGCCCCTGGTAAAACGACGCGAAGATCGGGACAAAATCGGATCGGGATAACTCGAAATCTCTCAGAGTCGGCGGGTTTGGTGGATGTATTGGGCGCCGCGGCCGCTCCAGAGCGTTCCGGAACGCTCTGAGAGCGCTCCGGAACGCTCTGGAGCGATTTATCCCGATCCTAGCCCTGTTTTACCTGGGGCCTGAGGTTCAGTCGGGCATGCCCCCTCTACAGGAGGACTGTTCAAGAATCGTCAACAGCTGGGCCGGCGACGGTTGTTGTTCGTGCTTCTTTGATCGTGGTTGAGGGTGTGCTGACTCTTGGTTTGATTGTTGTTGAGGATGTGCTGAATTTTTTGACTACCTGCTGACTTTGAGGATGTGCTGATTATTTTTTGAGGATGTGCTGACTATTTCCCCAATCAGAGCTTGCCTCTGTAGGGGTCCTAGCGGATTCATGTGGTTAGGTGAGGTGTGTCACCGATTTCCGCGTCCCGCCTGTGTGCCCAGGTGCTCGGATGCCCGTGTGCCCTATAGCCCTATACCCCTATAGTTCTATAGCCTGATATCCCTATAGCCCTACAGCCTTATAGCCCCATAGCCCAATAGCCCCATAGCCCTATAGCCCTATAGCCCTATAGCCCTACAGCCCTATAGCCTTATAGCCCCATAGCCCTATAACCCTAGAGCCATAGAGCCCTACAGCTCTATAGCCCTATAGCCCACTAGCCCACTAGCCCTGTAGCCCGATAGCCCACTAGCCCTATAGCCCCATAGCCCTATACCCTATAGCCCTAGAGCCCTAGAGACCTGGAGCCCTATAGCCCTATAGCCCTATAGCCTTATAGCCTTCTAGCTCTCTATCCCTTTAGCTCAATCGCCCTGTAGCTCTATATGCCTATAGTCCTATAGCCCCATAGCCCTATATCCCTATGGCCCTACAGTCCTATGGTCCTATAGCCATATAGCCCCATAGCCCCAGAGCCCCAGAGCCCCATAGTCCAATAGCCCTATAGCCCTACAGCCCTATAGCCGTATAGCCCTATAGCTTTACAACCCTATAGCCCTATGGACCTGTATCCCTATAGCCCTATAGTTCCATAGCCCTCTAGCCCCATCGCCCTGTAGCCCAATAGCCCCATAGCCCTATAGCTCTAAAAAGACTTTGATTGGATGATGCGCTGACTATTGTTTTAATGCTGACTCAAGTCTGGCTCAAGGCCACCCAGTGGGGTGCAACGCGGGGCGCCCCCGTTGCCGTCCCGCACTGGCGTCCAGGGGCCGCGATGGCTTGCCGCTGACAACCCGCTGCGGCGCCGCCTGGGGCGCAGCTGCCACGGTGTGAGGCGCTCATGGCGACGCGATGCCGCCTTTGTCTGACGAGCGGCGCGGACGGCCAGGCGGAGCCTGGAAGGGACTTGTGTGCTGCCCACCGGGCCGTGGCTTCTGGCCGTCCTCCGCACAGTCAGCCGCTCCAGCTCGCGACTCGGGCCTCCGCCTGCCGCGAGGTCCGCGAGGCTGCGGCCGTATCTGGAGGCGCCAACGCTGACAGTCCAGAACGCGTTCATCGATGGAGTTGCCGAAGACCGACCGCGTCGGCAACTCCGGCTCAACCTCGCCGAGGGCGACGAGCCTGGTAGCGTCGATGCCTCCATGTCGCTGGGTGACGCGCCTGCTGGGAGGCGCACCGCCGAGGATGCTGGCCTCGAGATGCGTCTCACCGAGATGGATCTTAATCCAGAGGTTCGAATGGAGCAAGACGCGGGCATCCCCTTGACCGAGATTCGCCGAGTCCGAGCACGGGCCTTCCTGGCGCCAGGCTGTTCCTGCCCACGCGCCGCAGAGGGGGGGCATCGAGGAGACTGCCCCGAGGCGCGCGAGGCGATCCAGGCAGCCAGCATGGCCGCTGAAGCGGAGGAGCCATCGGCGCCAGCAGCCGGTGCCGGCGGGGCCGACAGCCACGACGCGCGGACGGCAGCGGCCATGGAGGGCGAGCCGGGTGTGCCCGCCAGCAGCTCCGCGGCCGCCCATCCAGGGGAGCGAGCCGGCGGGCCTGTGCCAGCCCCACCCCGGCCCGTGGCACCCCCTCGGCCGATGGCCCACCCAAGTGGCGCCGCCAGCCCGCCTGCGCCGGCGCCGATCGTGAGGGGCCGCAGTTTG